GAGATGGGAATGTGTGCTTGTTGCCTGATTCAGTCAACGGGATTCATCCTTCTGCTAGTTATTCCACCCACACGAATCTCTCTCTCTCTCTCCCTCTCTCTCTCTTCCTGTCTTCCAAGGTGACTTTCCCCTTGCAATGGCAGATCGTCTTTGTTCTTATGCAAGTCTAGAGAAGAGAGGAGTCAGGACAGAACGAAGGAACAGAAAGCAAGGCACAGTGATAAAAAGAAGTAAGATTATGACAGTGAGTGGAACAGATGAGATTAAAAAAGATCCATGTGTGAGAGAGAGAGAGAGAGAGAGAGAGAGAGAGAGAGAGAATGGTGGGAGAGGAAGCAAGAGAGTATTTTCATGTTGCATACAGTAAGAAAAAAATATTTCCCACCCACCCTCTCTCTTTCTCCCTTTCTCTCTTTCTCTCCTTGCTCATGAAGGCACACAAACAGAAGGTACTAATCAACATACTTGAGTTTTCCAAATTAAAATGGGGAGAGTGGCAGACAGAAACAACGAGGGAGATGGGAATAAGATGCTGATTATACTACTTAATATGTAATATGTAAATTTGATTAAGTACATCTCTTTTCCTCATTTGGAAATAAATGAACAATTCCAAATAGGTCATTTGAATGCACACATAATAATTGCTTCAATTCGACGTTTGTACATAGGCATGTGCATCCTCACATTTGTTTTTCTGAATAATAATGATAATGAATAATAATGCTTAATAAAATAAAATAGCTGTGACTTTACTCATTTAGCATATTTAGCATAACCTCTCATACATTAGTGCCAACAGTATGTATGAGCACTTACCAAAGAAATACAATGGTATTTTTGGAATACCTTGGAATAAAGTGTACACTACTGTTAAACAATTTGAAGTCAGTAAGTTTTTCTCCTTTTTTGTAAAATATAATAACAGTTTTATTCAGCAAATATAAAATAATTAAAATAATCAAAAGTGACCATAAGGACCCCAAACTATTGAACGGTAGTGTAATTACATGCATGAATTTGGTAATCATTCAAAACCTCATCGCACCACAGTACTATAGTAGCCTACTACCACAATATTTTGGGTAATTCTTACTTGCATATTATGAAAGCACACGCTACAATTTCATATTTGCAGTGGTAGGGTGATGCTAAATAATTGTAATTAAATTATGGGAAAGTAGAAGCAAGGTCTTATTGACCTACATTAACCTGTGTGGTCAGAGTTCGTTACATGTTTATTAAGACATCTACATCTGTGTGCAGGACCCCGTCCCCATTATCGGCCCTCCAGTTACTAGGCTCCTGCAAATGTCAGCATGTGTCATTAAACATTAATAAGTGTTGATAGGATCAGACTTCACAAGTGGAGTGCAGCCTCTATCACCGATAATGAAGAATGATAGTCTCCCATTCTCTACACACATATTGGCTGAAACCAACTCTTTAAAGATTAATAACAGTTAAGGTCTCTGAATCAGGCAGAGAGAGTTTGAAAGGCTACCATTTCACTGATTGAGCAGGTACTTTATTGAGTAACCCTCATGTGGCATTTGATCTTCTGTGTGAAACTGCAAATGCTGACAGAGACACAGGAGGTTCTTAATTGCCTGTTTGACTTTTATCAACTGGGATGAAGTCAGTCAACCTTTCTCAGCATGGACTAATTGTATATATTAAAGCAGCCTGCACTTCTTAATAAATTCACGTAATGAAAAGACACTACCATACACCAATTAACTATCAGAGCAAGTGCCTCAGACTGATGTTAATTATTCAGAACAGCAAACTTTTTTAATCAGGATGAATCAAAATACAGATTCGTTTTTGCGTCTTCACTCTGGCCTAACAAACACCAACTTCTTTGGGAAAGAGCTGGAAACCCCAGAGTGGATTCAAAATTGCAGATTGCAGAACACTTTGCCTTCACTTGACTTGAAACCATTTTCATTTGCCAAGAAAAAATAATACAAACTGGCCAAATATGTAAATATGAAATGCAAGATATATTAACTTCAGGATATTGTATGTGTTGTGTATTGTATATGTATAATAAAAGTAATACTTCTGCCATTATAAAAAATGTAATAAAATAAAATATGTGCACATGAAATGTTATATGCTTTTCTATAAGAGGTATGAATTTTGACTGCTGAGGTTGGGAACAAACAAAGCAAACAAGCAAAGAGGCTGAATCTTTTTATTATTGTAATTCAGACTTATTGCTCCTCTATTTTAAAGTAATACAATACCCATCTCAAACTGAAATAATATACAGCACTGACAAGATATACAAATATGGGACACAAATAAAATAAATAAATTTTGAAATTGTAAAAGTTGTTTTGTCGATATTTTCAGAAACTGATCGAACCAGTATGCATGCCCTTGGTAGAGCTGAATTCAGATTGGCTGCCGTTTCAAACCACAGGAATATTAGTGACTATTTACATCCCTGATCATATAAATGAATAAACACAATGATAAATCTATTGCCCTCTAGACTATCAGTGAGAAGGACAATGTAAAATATGTGCACAAGTATGTGTACTGGTGGATTGACGGTTACTCTTTACACCACACAATGAATGCCAATAAGTTGGTATTAATTTATATGGAAATCATGCGATGCATAACCTGGATTTGAATTTTATTGCACATGGCCTCTGGCAGACTCACACCTGTAAGTATGATCTCTCAATCTCGCTCTTTTCCCCTAGCACCATGGGAATATTTGTGCTTTACTGGTTAATTAGACAGTGCCCTGTTGACCTCAGAGTTCAATGTGCTTTAGAAACCCTGTGCTGATTAGTTGCCAATGATACTACACACTCGTGGACAATAGAGACCTACCAATGTCTTTTAATTTCCTTTATAGAGGTGAGCAAGTCACACTTATCATCTAACACATCTAACACATTAATGGTTTCCTGCACACACCTTTTACCTACAGTCATAAATAGGCCCAGGCGGAATCTGCTGACTTTCTCTTTTTCTTTGACATTTTCTGCACAGATTTGTGGGAGAAATCTGAGAAATGGATTTAAACAGGGCCGTAACCACAAGTTCCCTCAATAATTAGATATGCCAAATTGCCAACCTCAGTATTTGATATCCTTGATGCTGTTTTGCTGTGCTCCATTATACACTCTTTGGTTTGTTGGTAGGATGACAAAAAGTTTTTAGACTAGTCTTGCACAGGGGACTAACGGTGCTCATCAATGTCAAAATAATCGAGATGGCCAATCAAATCAAAGAAGGCTTTATTGTTAACAGAAGACAACTGCGAATTCCAGCCCAATGCTTCAGTTTTAGAGGTGAAAGAGTATGAAGACATAAGTAGCTAACAAGCTAAACGAATAATCAACAACTGTTTTATGACAGAAATGTTTTGAATTGAACATACAGGCCTATTTACCTGATTCATAAATCATATTTACCTGATTCATGTAAATCATAATTGAATGTGACAAGACAAGAAACATTAACGGAGCTGTTTTCAGCATATTAGGCAGGTGATTTAGCCTAAAGTATATTTTAGCGTATTTGAAACAAAATTTCATGGAAATTCGTATCTATTTCTCGTTTTGGCAAATTAGTGGTGAATTGGTACATTTTATACTCATTCGTAGTTTTTTAAGGGTAGGCCTTCATGCTTCCCTTTTTTCTGAAAATCATAAATTTTCACGTGATTCGCATTGAATGAATTCACCTCATTTTCCCATGTGAAAGATGGTGTTTGTCTGTTGAAAGGCTTGCGTGCCTTTCTGTACCTGGGCCTTAAAGGGATAGTTCGCCCAAAAATGAAAATTAGCCCATTATTTACTCACCCTCAAGCCATCCTAGGCATATATGACTTCCTTCTTTCAGATGAATCCAGTCAGAGTTATATTAAAAATTGACTTTGATCTTCCAAGCTGGTTTAATGGCTGTCAGCGGGTGTTGCAGTTCATTAGTCCCAAAGAAGTTAAATAAAGCACATCCACCCATAATAAAAAGTGTCACACATGGCTCCGGGGGGTGAACAAAGGCCTCCTGTAGAGAAACGATGCGTTTTTGTAAGAAAAATATCCATATTCAAAACGTAATAATCACTTTAATCTAGCTTGCGCCAACAGTTGTACAAGGAAGCAGTTCTGGGCTGATGATGTAAGATGTCGGCGTTGTGCATGCGCCGGTGAGTCTTGTGAAAACCAACATTTGTTTACAGGAGCAAAGGAAGCAAAGTTTCCTTACTTTAGCAAAGGAAAACCAGTCTCCTCTTGGCTTATATCGAAATCCTCAGAAATTCTTCTTTACAAATTTTGTACTTCTAATTCGTGACTGTTGTTTTGATTTGATCACTCCCCTGCGCTTCCGCGTTAGAGACTTCTGAGCGGTGCATGCGCAACGCCGACGTCCTACGTCATCCGCCCGGAGTTGCTTCCGTGTACAACAGTGAGCGCAAGCTAGATTACATTAATTATTATGTTTTAAATATGGTTATTTTTTTCACAAAAACGCATCAATTCGCTACAGGAGGCCTTTGTTCACCACCCGGAGCCGTGTGAGGCAGTTTTTATTATGGATGGATGCACTTTATTTAGCTTCTTTTGGACTGATGCACTGCAACACCCGCTGACAGCCATTAAACAGCTTGGAAGATCAAAGTCAATTTTTAATATAACTCCGACTGGATTCGTCTGAAAGAAGAAAGTCATATACACCTAGGATGCCTTGAGGGTGAGTAATTCATGGGCTAATTTTCATTTTTGGGTGAACTAACCCTTTAAGTGAATGTATGCCTATTAATAATAAAATAGAATATTATTTGCTAATTCTTCAAAGAGATTATTTTACAATAAATTCTAGTTCTTTCTTTTTCTTTGTTCCCTTAAGTCTCTTACAAATGTTTAAAATATGGTTACGGCCTTGAATTTAAACATGGTGAAATATGTTAAATGGAGATGAACATACTCATAGTAGCAGCTGAAAGCATAATTAAATTATCCAAAATATTTAATAAAAAAAACAAGAAAAGACAGATGTACACAAGTGAATGCACACTCAGATTCCATGTGAGCCTAGTTATAAGTCACAGACACACAAACACTCACTCTCTAACAGCCTCTGTCAGGCAGCGGTCAGTAGCATCGCTGCAATCTGCCCTGTGCTTGCGGCGGATCCTGGTATTAGCGCGAATGGGAGTCTGCGTGTTTTGCGGCCGCAGCCTGCGTAGACGCGTATGCAGAACTTTGCGCAGTTTTTGCCGCGTGAACGCATACAGCAGCGGATGTAGCACTACCGTCCAATAAGCAAGCACCAGGAAGCAGAGTCTCAAGCGTTCTAGCCAATCAGATGGCCCGATGGCCAGCATGAGAAGGGGCATGATGGAGAGAGGCGCCCAGCATAGCAGAAACGAGAGGATTATGATGACGGACATGCGAAAAACACGCCTTTGGCGTTCCCGCCGATCTCGGTGGCGCCGAACTGCTCGACGCAGAGCCAAAATGGCCGATACTGATGCTCCCACGCCCATGCTGGGAGGACCCTGAACGGGGGTGGGGCTTAGCTGAGTGGTTACTGTGGATACAGTGGGCATGGGGCTCAAAGGCGTGGCCACTGATGATGTAGCAGCGGTGGGGATGTGAGGGCTAGTTATGGCGGATACAGATGGGGCAGGACTCAAAGGCGTGGTTACCATTGAAGCAGTGGGGGTGGGGCTTAAAGGAGAGGTTATCACGGATACAGTAGGGGTGGGGCTAAGTGGCGTGGTGAGCGAGGGAGTGTTCGTCTCAGTGTTGATGGTTACTATTGTAACTGTATCTGAGGTGATAAGCGGGTCGGCTGAAAGCTGCGGTGGGGAGGTGGGTGTGTTTCTCGTCGTGTGATTTGGTGATCTCGTTGACTTTTTACGCCGTAACCAGAGACGATGCACAGGCCGTTTGCTGTCTCGGTGGGGCCTGGGTGTGCGTCCGATGCGGATGCGCAGTGCCTGAAGAATTCGCGAGTATGTAAACAGCATCACAGCAAGAGAGCACAGGAACACGGGAACCTGTAGTAACAGATGAGCCTGTAGAGTTCCTCCCCACTCAGAACAAAGCACAGTGCTATTGGAGTGCACAAACACCCCCGCGCCTTGCCCCGAAACAAACCCCGCCTCCACGAATGGTAGGAGGGGCACGGCTAAAGAAACCGCCCATACTCCAACAAGTAAAATGGTGGCTCTTCGAGGTGTCAGCAGGCGATTGGCTGGCCGGACGCTGATGTCATAGCGATCTAAGCTGATGAGTAGCAGGTTAAGTGCGGTGCCCACACTGGCGAAGCTGGCTGCCGATTCGTGGAGACAGCAGAGAAGGGCGTGGTGAGGAACCGAGGCTCCGCCCAGAATGAGGAGCGTGGCAGTGATTGGCAGGCAGAGGAGACAGAGCAGCAGGTCAAGGGTGTGCAGGCTGAGCGTGACGGCATGACTGACGGACTCCAACAGGCTGCAGTGACCACAGTATAACACCAGCACGGTCATATTGCCACCCACTCCCAGGAGCAGCTCCAGCAGCAGCACAGCACTCACCGTAGCCCGGAAGCCGAGCCACGACCCCTCCTGCTGAGCGAGTCCGGCCCCCACGCTATCTTCAGCCTGTAAGAGGGACAAACCGTGGCCCCCAGTAAAGCTGCCATCTGTCTCCATGGACACCATCGCCACGTGCCTTCAGGCATAGTAAAGCCAGCCACTCCTACTGGCCATGCTCCACCTACTCAGGTGTTTTCTTGGGGCGTTGAATGATTGACAGATCTATGATGGGAAGACAAAAACAGAATGAAACGCATTCTTTAATGAATAGGCCAAAATGTACAGTATTTACTGGAGCAGGGCACACTGAGATCCACTGTGACCCCTTTTCCACCGACAGGGTGCCAGGCTTTTCTTATATATTATGTTTATTAAACAGCATATATTTTTATAAATATAAAAGACAATATTTAAATACATTTAAAATGACTGATTTTTTGTATTATTTTAACAAAATTATTAATAAAAAATTGTATATACATTTCTATCTATCTACCTATCTACAAAATATAAAAATACATAAAAATATATATATTTTATAATATAAAAATAACATTTATTACATTTAAATGTACAGATTTATTTCTAGTGTTTTTATTTTTAATTTGTTTTGACAAAATATTTAAATGTTATTCATCTATCTATCTATCTTTCCATATAATTTATATATATACTGTATATATATATATATATAGTAAATAAAAAATAATAAAAATATATGAAACTAAACATTTAAAGCTTTTTATTGTTTTATTTGAATTTTTTTTAATTAAAATAATATCAAAGTTGAATATCTGCCAGTTGAATATCTGGATTTTAATATTGGTGCATCCCTAGTAGTATCATAGTCAGTTACGTCATTGTCACTCACTCAAGAGCAAACGCAGGATGGGACTAAGAGAGATTCACAGATGCAACCAACCGAGCACTGGCATCATTTTGGTGGAACAGGGGTATGACTTGTCCTTCTGAAGTGTAATAAGGTATTGATCTAGCAAGACAGGACAACAAAGATGAGTATGATGTACACGTGAGTCATCGTGTATGTGTGATTCTGCAGTCCCACACACAGCCAAGTTTTTGTGTCCAACAAGAGAACTACTCCGACAGATGAATTACAGCACAAAATGATCACTCACACATGACCAAGGACACAAACGATTGATGAAACCTTGATGAATTTAGCTATGGACACAGTAGTGTACACAGTGTACTGCTCAACGTCTGATTTAACATGTTATTTTTCTAATAAACTAAAAATCTAAAATACATGCCATCAAAACAAGCAGCTCTCAAATGATAGGCTGCGCAATCACAGCAGCCTGTCATTCCAAAAAAAAAAAATCATAAATATATATAAATAAATAAATAAGTTCAACTTGAGACTGATCCCATTTCTAGGATGGTTGTTACTATGGCAACTGGTTTACAGTTTAAGAGTGGTCAAAATACAAAATTTGAGACTTTCTGCATCTGTGGCTGCTCAAGTGGGGCTCAGACTTTGCCTTTTGAGCACATCTGTGATAATGACCGCAGGAGGAAAGTTTTGATGTTTAACACAATGAGACTGCAGATGGGGGGAGGGCAATATGGTTGGCGTGCCGATGCACCCCGTGCCATGCTGGTAATGAAAACAGGTCACTGCAGTGGAACTTTTGAGTGACAGTGGAAGACATAGATTTAGGGCTCGGATTCTGTGGTAGTACGAATAACTGAAGCTTGATATCTTATGCTCACAGAAGTGAGACTGAGGCCAAAAATAAGCAAGACTGACTTTTGTCAGAGATGGCAGATCACGGCGTTACATGTAAAAAACTAAGTAGTAGTGAAAGAGATAGAGAGAGAGGGAGAGAATGAGAGATGAGTGGGAGGTGCAGGTGCACAGTGTGTTGTGAAATCTCTGGAGGAGTTTGTTTCTACCTCCTACCCTCTATCCATCACTGTGCTATGCTTGAGTTCCATCCATCTTTCTTTGGACTAACCACGCTGTCTCAGCTCTTTCTGCCATTTATCAGACTCTATTTCATTATCATTGTTTTCCAAGCCAATTTGGTCAGTCCACGCTGGTTTGTAGCCTGCCTGATAAAGGAATAATTCACCCGAAAATGAAAACTTGCGCTTAGTTTCAAGTGAACGCTCAAAATACATTATTTGGGTAACACTTTACAATAATTAACTAACACTTTAATACACTTTAATACATTAACAAACATTAACTAATGGAGCCCTATTGTAAAATGTTACAATTATTTTTATTAAAGCATATACGTTCACAAAAACACTTTATTATATTAAACAGAAAAGCAAGCAGGTGCATGATTTGGCATGGCAGCCAATACAAATAATTAATAACCGTTTCCTTACCTAAATCCTGCGTTTGGACCAGGCTCGGTTGCAGAAAAAGTGAATGCACATCACTTTGTGCTTCTGAAATTAGGCTATTATCTTCTTCTATATAGTGTAGTAGTTTTACTATCTCTTTGTCGTACGTGGCCGCTTGTCAAGTATGAAAAACACACGTTTAATTTAAATTCTGAATATATTATCATATAGGCTACAGCGTGGAAAGAATGATCCATTTAAATTTATTAAAAACTGTCACTCATTCATCATGATCTCACAAAGTTCCGTTTTAACCAATGAATGTGACCACATTGAAACTTTTTTAATGAAGTTACGAGCATGATAGAACTCAGCACCAGACAAAAAGCGGTGAGTGCGTGGATTCCAACCTAAACACATCTGATTGGCCATTGCGTTGTAGAAATCAACAAACATATCTGTGATTGGCTACTTTGCTCCCCTCTGCAAAAATGCATTGTAAAATAATTTGACGCTTTCCAAAACAGAAGGGCAGATACGCTGGATTGTTTGCCAAATCTATTTCGTTATGCTATTATTACAAAGAAAACAGATCCTAGACCAGGAGCTATGGGCAGCTTTTCCATCTAAAAGCAATCAGTTAGACTATTTTACACTATGAGTTAGACTATATTACACGCGAAACTAAAGCCCGGTCCTCCCCCTCGGTCCGGAGGGGGGGGGGTCACAGGGATCTCCGTGGGGGGGCAAATCTCCCCTGGCCCCCCCTCTGGATCCGGGCCTGGTTCTCTGTATTCCAAGCATTCTGAAGTCATATGATAGCTTTGTGTGCAGAATTTAAATGTAAGCAAAAGTAGATTGAGATATTATCGAGATATATTTTGAATTAGTTTTTATTTTTGTACTTTCTGTTTTCAAATTAACTTTAATTTTTGTTTGTTTAATTTGTAATTTTTATTATAGTTTTTTTTTTTTTTTTAAATATATGTGTATCTAGTTTCTATTCATTTTTACTTCAGTTTTAGTTATCAGTTTATTCAGTTTTAGTATATCAAGTTAAACTAAAATGATGCTTTGGCTACTAGCTGAAATAAAAATAAGTTACATTTTCTTTCTGTCTTTCTTTTTTTACGTGACAGAAGGAAGCTGTTTTTTAATAGTTTTATATTTGGTTAACTATAATATCGTGTTCTTTATTTTGCATATTGAAACTTGCACATTAAGATAAGTCACATGATGACATCAAACCTGTAAAGCCTTATCAAGGCTTTTTCCTTTGTGTTGCACAGAAAAAAAAAAAATAAATTATATATATATATATATATATATATATATATATATATTGAATGACATGACATGTGAGTAAACAGTCACAATATGTTCCTATTCCTTGTACAACAGCAGAGGCATTCGAACCACACATTTATGCAAAAAATTGCACATATGCATGTGATAATGAATCTGTTGGCGTGTCTCTGTGGACAAAATGGTCCTACAGTTGCGTGGAGTCAAAATTGATTTATAATGAACTATATTAATAGTGGAATGAATATGCAAATCCATTAAATTTGTTTACAGACTATTTGGAAATGAGAGCGTGACAACACGTGAAACTACAGTCACTACAGAGGGAAGAACCAAAATAACTCCACATCTAGAAGGAGCTAAAATAGCTGATGATCTAGATTCCTCTTTCCTTTCATACACATTTTTAACACATCAGGGCCACTTATATACCTGCTCCACACTCCATTGTTCCTCTGTTGCTGATTGTCCTAAAAACAAGCTGTAGCCTTTCATCTTATTATAAATGTACACACACCATCTCATACATCCTCTTCTCTTCTTTTCCTTCCTTCAAATGGCATCTTGCAGCCTGATCTGAAGTGCATCTGAAAATCCCTTTGACTGTAATCAGTGAGAATGTGCATGTGGGAGCAAGATGATGATGATGATGATGGGTGTGATGAATGTCAAATGATTGACGCAGGCGTATTTAACTTTTTTCCCCTTAATAATTTGCTGGAGTCACGTGTCACTGAGCATGTGCATGTGTCCAGTTGTGTTTGAAAGCATCAATGTGAGAGGATGATGCCCTGATGCAAATTGAACTGTCATAATAAGCAACTCGTAAGCCTAAGAGTCCATTGTGACTGATAATAATGGCTATTCAAACTAATGAAAAAACATTAATTTGCAATATAGCTATTTTAAATGACTCTTGAATTTCACACACACGGGCTGACCGCAGATTACAGGCAACACATGGATTTGCTCGGTAAACAAATCGTCCGTAGTGGCGACATACCCCGCATTTGACATTGCTGCCAATTTTTTGCAGTGTAAGGAATATTAGTAGTCGAGTCCAGATCAAACGACACTGCTGATTGTCTCTTATCATTTCTATACCCAGGCGCGTGTTGCCAAAATGTACCACTTAAACAGCCGAGAACCAATGAAGAGTGACGGTAAAATGGAACCGAATGGCAATTAAGTGAAAAGATCAATAGCCTCGTGAGTAGTGTGAAGATGCATTGAGGAGGTTTTTACTCACCTTGCCCCGCGCGCCGGGAATCCCCGCTACATTCCACTGCGGTCCGTTCAGCGCGCGCTATACTCGCTCTCTCACTCTACTAGAGCGCGAGATTCCGTGGGGCTTCAGGACAGTCCGCTGTCAGGTACGTGCCCGGAATAAATGTCGCACCTTCTGTGGTGCTAAACGGTGATAGAAATCGCCACTGTGCTTCTGTGAGTACCCATGAGTGCCGCTATCCTGTGTACTAGACGTACTGAACCCGCTCCCTCTGCGCTATCGCGCATCCACGCTGTCTGCAGTCCGCACGATCCTTACAAACCAATTTATAAGATATGGTTTCTGTGTTGACAACACTGTATTACTATTTTCTATGGTTTTATTTCTTTATTTTATAATAAGCACTACATTAAACATGCGAGTTGTTAACATTAGCCTATGTAAATAAGAACACTGTAAAAATATTTTCGAAGTTGTAAATAAAACAAAGATTATTTGAGTACCTTTTACAAGAAAATACTACTTCAGTCTTTCTACTTCAAAATTTCAATGTTACTTGTCGATTCTTTGTAATTATTTGTGAAATTTAGCAATTTATTTAAAAATAACATTTTATTGAAAAAAACAAAACATGGAAGATAACAAAAATATCCAGAGAAAATATATTTTTATATATATTTTAACTACCCCCCCCCCCCCCCCAAAGCATTCAAAAATTCAATTACACAGTGTTTATTAAGTTATTATACAAAGGCAGACATATACACATATATATCCACAAATACAAAAGCACAACATACCAGTCATTAGAGTGAAATGTATTTATTGCCTGTGCCAATATTTGGTTATTTTCCAGAAACGGTATTGATACCAAATTTTATGGTAGTCCTTTAGTTTGCCCTTTATACTGTAGGTTATTCTTTCCAATATAGTATAATGTGCCAGATCTTTCAGCCAATGATCAGTGAATGGACCTTCTATTCTTCAGTAGAATGCTACTAAACATTTTGCAATAACTAGACAAAATGTCAATCATTTTAGTGTGATAATAATGATAAACTTACCGAAATAAACCCAAAGCACATATTTCAGGGATCACTGGAATTGATTTTGAAATAATTGAGGAAATTAGTGTTACACTTTTTGCCAGAGTGTCTTAGTCACCTCACATCCCCAGATACAGTGAAAGAATTCTCCCTTATATTTTTGGCATTTGAAACATATATCTGGGATGTTTGAGTTAAACTTACATAACTGTTCAGGGGTGACATAAGTACGCATTACCCAGTTGTATTGAATCAACTAGTATTAATTGACAAATTCTGGGCTTTAACACATGTCTAGCTCCATTCTAAATCCGAAAGGTCATATTGCAAATCCATACCTCTAGCAACTCTATTGGATTCAGATGATTCTTTAGAGCAGTTAACAAATTTGCAATAAAGCAATGAAATTTGATTAGTACTAAGTTCCTTATAAAACATAAGCTGTTGTAGTTCTTTTTGTAAAGGTCTAGATATTGAATAATTTTGCTTGACGTTGATATAGCTGTGAATTTGTAAGTATTTAAAAAGTGTCATTGGACTTTAAAAGGACATCAATGTATCGCCCTTAAATAAATCACCAATCTTCAAATTTTTAAATGAAAATAATTTCTACACCAGTTTTTTCAGTGTATACATGTTTCCTCTATGAACTTTAATGCTCGGCACAATAATGAAAGGGCAAAGAAATTGCTTTTCAATGTCAAAATCAATGTCACCCAATCTTTCAAAATGCAATTAACATACATCTTCCTTCCCAAGGATATTTAGTAGATATGGAAAGGGCAATTTAAAAGGCATATGTAATGATCTGAGAGAATGAGGAATGCATCCGCATGAAAGCTAATTTTCCCAAATATTCACTGCACTCAAGGCTTGATAAAAACATGATATAAATTAAGACATGGTTGACCTCTGGAGCACCGCAGTGAATTTGATGCACAGCTGTCAGTGACTGACATTACAATAAACTCATTAAAATCAACAATGACGGATTAATCTCATGAATGAACAGAATAAAAATATAGACTGGCACTCAAACAATGTTATTAAGCAGGCATGAGAATATAAAACAAAATACTCTAACAGATGGACTGTCTAAAATGCAGTCAATGAATAAATATGAGTAGAAATGAATATGAAAACAGTGTTTGAATGACAGCCCTGGAGGAGTAGTAATGACTGTACATTGGCATCTTAACAAGACGGTCCAGAATCATTACTGAATCATCAGATGTGTGTGACTAGGATTGATGCACAAAACAAACTCCCCACCCCACCCACCTCCCAAAAAGACAACACAGCATAGAGTAACACCAAATTAACAGAGAGAGAGAGAGAAGAGAGAAGGAAAAGACTATGTAGTTCTTTTCTAAATAAACTACAGGTGGTTACTGACCTTTTAATGAGGCTCTAGTTGACAAATAAGTCTAGTCAAATGTAGATCTGCACTATATTCATTGTTAAAACGAGAGCTCCAGCACCATTAAATTTCAGTCTTGTTTCAGGTTTATTTTTTCCCTTATAAATTTTAATGTTTATTTCAAGCAAATACAGAACACATGAAGAAAAGATCACTTTACAACATATGAATGTATATTTAGAAAATGACTACTTTTTATGTGCTATTAAAACTGGCAGACAGGAAGTGCCTTGTGCAAAGAAAACTTTAAATTGCTCCAACATCACTTAAAATGAACAGGACTGTAGGATCCATATACTATAATGGAAATAAACACTGAATATAATGAACGGAATACATGAAAACATTAAAACCAGTCAACAATATAAAAATATCTTTAAAAATAGCACCATTTGTCCAAGTAAACATGCAACATCTGATAATACAAGAACATTCATTCTCATTTTCAAGCAGATAAAAATACAGATCTACAGATAAAAATACAGATCTACATTTACAGTACAATTTTGTACAGCATAGACTTATTCTACGAACAAGTCTAAGATGAATTTGTTAAGAATATTACAATGTGTGTTCTAGTTTCTGGTTTTAGCACCTGAGAAAATGTCAGTGGGTGTAACTATGTGACAACAAGGATTAAGTGAGAAATGGAAGATAATGTGGTATGCTGTTACTGACTGGACTTACTGTATGTACATGTGTATATATATATATATATATATATATATATATAATGTATGTAGATGAATCCAGATTGGCAGGAATATTAACAGATGTTTGGCAGCTCAACAGACACAAAATAAATAAACAAGAAAAACCTTAAAGATCTGATCAATATTTAAAATGTGCTTGTTCCGCTGAGGCAAAGGTGTTGACATCAACCTTTACCTTGATCTCTTGTGCATGATGGCAGTGTTGAACACTGAGGTTTAGATTTTTTTATATTGCTGATGAGTTAGAGATCCTCCATTTGCAATCAACTCTTGTCTTCAAGCTAAAACACAATTCTATAAAACATAGAAGACAGAATTGTGAGAAAAACACAATAGAGACAGATATACACAGATGCAGTGCAAAAATCACATCTCTATCCCATCCAATTCATAATTTATTTAGAAATATGCATTAATGCACCATTTGTTACCTTCAGCATTTTCTATTAATCAGTGCGTGTTAATGTACCTTCTTATTGTTGTAGACAGAGTTTCTCACAATCTTCCTTCTGTAAAAAGCGGTTAGCATTTCCTCCACAGCCGCTGTAGATAAAAGGTCTACAGACGCCCACCTCAGAGTTAAAGTACCAACGCAAAGTATAGCGAGAACAATTACCCTCTTCCATGGGCAAGATGCAGGAGTCTAAAAACAAACATTAAAGAAAAATAATTAAATGGTTGAATGGTAATGGATAATCACCAATTCTTCTTTTGTTCCATGGAATACACTACCGTTCAAAAGTTCTATCCTGAATTAATGCAATTTGAACAATATTGCGAAAGACACTGTTGAAATACACAAATGCACACAAGGCAGATTCAACTTTTAAACTTGTCATTATGGCATCTCTCTATAGTTAAAAGTGCAACAGAGATCTGTAGAAATGTCCAGCTATTTTCTGTGGCGGGACAGCTGCTTGCAATCTCATACTAAGAGCTGTCATACAGATGAGTCAGCGGGTTGACAACATGCAGAAGATACACAGAGAAACAACAGGAAGTGAGAACAGCAAAGAACAATAGTATGCAGCAATTACAGAGTGCAAAAATTATGATAATCCATCACAGTTTTGTTAAGGGTTTGACATTTTTCCCACAGATAGCATTTTTAAGCATTTTTTCCCCAACAAAGACACGGAAAAGCAGTAAAAATGAAGAGAATAAAATAGGCACCATCAATACTTTTATTGCCACAGTAAAGGCTCCCCAACATACTCATGCGTAAAGATAAAGAGCCTTTAATCTCTAATCTTTAATCTAATAATGATGAATGAGGAGTGGTTGCTTACCTTCACCCTTCACCTCAAATTTGGTCCTTTCAGCTTTTAAAGAATCAAAAGAGACGGTTTGACCTGCCAAAATGTCCATATATTATACTACGTCTGCACACGAAGCTACAAACAAACAAAAAATTGGCATACCCTGGCTTTTATTGACAGTGGTGTCATAGTCAGCAATCTCCACCATTGGAGCATCATCATCATAGGTCTCTATAGAGTAAATGTGCTCGTAGTCTGGATCATTTGTGTTCATCACAACACGCAGCTTTTGACCTGCAAAAAACAAGGAAAGAATATGAGGGCTATTGAGGGAGATCAGAGTTTAGAATGCTGGGATATCGTAGTTTGAGAGAATTAGATGTACTGTACATGTGCAACTGGATATGTTAAATACAAGCATGTATTTAACATATCCCACTTATGTTTAAGGCAGAAACATAGTTTCTGTTTAAAGGGGTAGTTTAAAGAGAAAAATTTAAATTCTGTCATAATTTACTCAGTCTTGTTTCAAACTTGAATGACTTACTTTCTTCCACAGAACATTATAATGAGAGGTTTTGTAAATGTTGACACTGCTTTTTTAAATAATGCAGAATGACCACCATTGTGAAAAAGAAGTACACTTTAGCACACTTTCAAAAAAGAGAACTTATTACAGAAATAGCATACTTGAAAAGAATATTCTTTAGTGTGAATTGAATGCAATGTTCACGGACACTTAATTGCCTGTGAATGTCATTTAATGTTATTTCTATTAAAAGTCTTTTATGTCATGTATTTAAATATACTTGTAATTACACATTTGCAATGATGATGCAATTCAGTACATTTAACACAATCATTTTAGATGTAATATTGAATAACAAACTACAGTCAAAACTGGTGTGTGCTTTAGTATGTATGCCAACACATTAAAAAGTGTACTTCTTTAAAGCATGACAAAAAAATATGCTATGTGTACGTATACGTGCACATTCAATGTTTCATGTTCACAAGGCAAGAGATAGATAGAGATAGGGCTTTTGTGGTATGGAAACAATCAGTGTGAACATTCTTCAAAATATCTTCTTTTGTGTTCCACGTTTGAATAAAAGAGTAAATGATGACAGAATTTGTATTTTTGGGTGAACTGTTTCTTTAAACTAGTCCTTTCAAGGAAGTCATAAATAGAGGACAGAGTGACAGGAGTTTTGAGTTTAGAAGAGAGGAGGATAAACCGAGATAGAAGGATGAAATGAGGATAGGACTCACCCTCCTCGTCCCCTTGGACTAGTGAGCGCTCAGGGGACGTGGAGGAGCTTCGGTAAGCCTGCACTGGTACAGGTTTCTCAACTTCCTGAACACCTGAGAACACGCCCATAACGAATCACACAAATGCAAGATAGTAAAACCCATCAGTGAACACACTCACACAGGCATCCATGCATGTAAAGATGCACTCAAAGTTCATGCACTACATCAACAATTTAGCATGCACAAAACCCGGAATTCAGCCATGTGGACACAGACCAGAAATACTCATGAACATACTCAACAAGGTTTATACAGACAGAGACCACATAAAACAGTCACACACAAGCCTACTGTTAGTGAACTGTAAGCACATTAGTTGCTGTTGCAATGATAGGAAAATGTCTACAGGCTATATTGAGGCTTTATAAAAGTCACAACTTACCTCCACAAGCTTAGGGAAAAAAGAGAGAAAGTTGGAGAATTAAATTCAAGGATACAAAAGAGAAATTAAAATCAACATCAATCAGCATTTGCAACCCGTTGTATTTCTGTAAAATGTATTTCCAAGTAAAAAAAGAATATACAGTGAAAAAGGCAGGGCTATAGAGTAGGGATGCACCGATACCGATACTGGATACCGATCGGTATCGGCCCGATACTGAGCTCCTGTACTCGTACTCGTTAAAATGCCCCGATACCAAAGGCTGATACCACACAGCATGCGATAAGTGCCGTATTCAGACAAAGAAACACCGACAACAGAACAACAGACAGCAGAATGGTTATTAGAGATTAAGGATGTCTACGAAGTACTGTATATGCATGCAATGAATATAATGTTAAAATTCAGTATTAACGCCTGTATAGCTGATGTGTGCGAGCTGATAAGCAAAGCACGCAGAGTGGGTTGAGCGCGCGGCGGCGCTCATGCGCAAGCTTGTTGAGTTAATAGCCCTTTCTCACAGACATCACTGGAAAGTTTGTAGTTCGGTCGGATATGTCAAAAACAAGTAAGTAAAACAATGCACAAGTTACTTAACGGTAGGGAGGGAGAGAGAGAGCGCGCGCGCACTTCTGTTGTGTGATCTTTGATGTTCATTCACTTAGCACATGCATCATTTGGATTAAAACTAAACCGTAAAAATAAGACCATTTATAGGGGCATTCACTATAAACATAATTTATTTTCAACCTTAGGCATACATGACTTTCTGGCCAAAGTGAATCTAGCAGCCTGTGTCAAATGCGCTAGGCTGTACTGTACTTGTCCCTCTCATTTTGCACCAGTACAAATACGTGCAGTAACAAAAACTTGTCAAATACATTTTAATGGGCATAATTAAGTGTGAAAATAACAGAAGGATATACAGTCAAACCAAAAATTATACAGAGACCAGATATAATTTTTGATATTTATGTAAGTGAGGATAGCTAAATAAAGTAAACTGTGACAAATTATACCCAAAAATTCTTCACACAGTGGACTACCAGTAAAACACAAATTTGGGACCAAAAATTATTCAGACAAAAAAAATGAAGTTCAGGTTTGCATGAACCTGGATGACAGCATGCCCAGGAGACTAAAGGCTGTCATTAAGGCTAAGGGTTGCCCGACTAAGTATTGATAGTTGTGTAAATACTGTCATACTAACAGCTGTCTGAATAATTTTTGGTTGATTGTAATCCATTACATACCTTTCTATCAAAGTTATCTAGCATTATCAAGCTGAATTTGTTCTGACACAGTTTAACTCTGAGTTCTTGTCATATTTTATTACCATTTTCTAAACTATAGCGAATAAACTGTGATAATGTGAGAAAACTTGAAGGTGTCTGAATAGATTTTGGTTTGACTGTGTCTATTTGATAAATGAAGGTAACCAACTAACATTATACATACTCTTTTTGTTTCTGTACCCAATATTTAAAAAATGTACAAATGCAATAAAAATATTAGTATCGGTACTCGGGATCGGCAAGTACAAAAAATAAAATTATCGTATCGGGCGAGTACTACAAAAAGTGGTATCGTGCATCACTACTGTAGAGGATTTGTTTTGATTTCATGACATTAAAAAGAGTCATTGATGATGATGGAAAATTGTTGTAGATGGAGATAAATGACGATTATCCACTCACCACAATGCAGGTTCATCTCACTTCGAACATAAGTCCGAATCTCATCCTCCTTTAAGAATAAAGAGAGATGCAAGCAGCCCTTGTGTCATTGTAACTTATCTTGAGGATTCAATGAGACTCGAGTAGCAGAATAAAATACGTATGATGACATTACAATAAATCATGAATCACAAACGTCTATTTGTTCTGACCGTCATGCTTGTTTCTCCTCTGTCTCCTTTAGGTCCATCAGAGCCAATCTCGCCCTGATACAAAAACACAAAGAGACACATTTAGTGATGACAGATATACAGTATGGAGAAAAAATGCAAAGGACAAGTAGGTGTATAGAGTCACCTGTTCTCCTCTTTCTCCTGGGATCCCAGGGATGCCACGTGGGCCAACCATAGCAGGGCCTGGAGGACCTCTTTCACCCTACAAAAAATATTCAATACGTCACATATGATGAACTAACCATGGCTCCTTGTGCATATGAATCAGTGTTTCCTGCAGTGCTATTCAGGAGCAGCACTGCACTGCTGCTGATCCTGCTGCTCCAAATCAATACAAACAATATCACAGCAAAAGAGAAAAAAAAAAAAATTGATAAAATAAATAGAACTGTACTTTATGTGATGAGAGAAAGACTCTGTAATGAATCTGTCAAACTAATTGACAAATCAGTCCGAAAAGTGTAAATGGTCTGAACCACTAAATTGGTACGACAACTAACATCCTCCGTGAATAGGCTCTGATTACTCACTTGTTCGGTGAACCACAGGTTATGACATAAAATGAGCCCAGAACGTTATTGTGCTATGTGTTATATATTTTTTTTAATGTAGAAAATGTATATTCATAAGGTTAGTGAAAGTTTAATTACTCAATGGTTGTCCATATGACAGCATTACTTGAGAGATACCATTATAGACATATATCTGCAGTTGTAATTTATTCTAATTCAAAGACCTATCATCATTTTAAAAAGCATGCTGTGTGCTCCACTGTCAATGACAAAAATAATCTATGGAAACAGACATGTATAACAACTCTATAATTATGTAAATGCCTCTTTGCACATATACAGTATTAGGGATGCACCGAAACTGTCACGAATCCGGTCTATGAACTTCAATTCACTCACCACCAGAGGTCACCCTTAAAAATAATCTATGGAAACAGACATGTATAACAACTCTATAATTATGTAAATGCCTCTTTGCACATATACAGTATTAGGGATGCACCGAAACTGTCACGAATCCGGTCTATGAACTTCAATTCACTCACCACCAGAGGTCACCCTTCCATTACATTGACTCTCGCACTACACAAACTGTTGCATGTCATCCCGGACTACATATCCCATCATCCATTGCACTGATTGCACACAGCACTGATTGCAAACAGCTGTAACCAATCACACATTCACTATATAACACTCATTCAGATCCCTTTCACACTGCCGAGTATTGTTTAGAGTTTATCACTTTGATAGCTGATAGCTACTTTACGGAGCCTGCCCTGGTTTCCATAGTCATAGTCATAGTCATAGTCATAGTCATAGTCATAGTCTTGTCTTTCCCGCTTTCCCGCTTTCCCGTGTTACCTGATTATTGCCTGTTTCTCTTGGATTAACCCTTTGCCTGCTGTTTCGGACTGTGTTTACACCTTGCCTGGACTCTAGCTCGTGTTATTGGATAACCCCTGGTGTCAAGCCCTCTGGATATTGTTAGCCGCTGATCGACCACGCCCGTTTTGGATTACTCTTCTGTCTTGCCCTTTATATACCTGTTTGCCATTGTCTGACCCATGCCTGTTTCATGACCACACGCTTTAATAAAGCATTGCAGATGGATCCGCACGTCCCGCGTCCCGTTCGCCCCGTAACAGATACCAGTTTTTCCAGTTCTCGCCCGATACAGATACTTTTATTTTTGGTACTTGCCGATACCGAGTATGATACCAATATTTTTATTGCATTTATACATTTGTTAAATATTGGGTACAGAAACCAAAAGAGTATGTATAATGTTAGTTGGTTAAATTAATTTATTAATTTATCAAATAGACACAGTCAAACCAAAATTTATTCAGACACCTTCAATTACAATCAACTAAAAATTATTCAGACGGCTGTTATTATGACAGTATTTACACAACTATCAATACTTAGTCGCACAACCCTTAGCTTTAATGACAGCCTGTAGTCTCCTGGGCATGCTGTCATCCAGGTTCATGCAAACCTGAACTTCAATGTTTTTCCCAGAATCGGTCTGAATAATTTTTGGTCCCAAATTTGTATCAGTTTTACTGGTAGTCCAATGTATGAAGAATTTTTGTGTATAATTTGTCCCAGTTTACTTTATTTTGCTATCCTCACTTACATAAATGAACTATAGTGTCCTGCACCCAATAGTAAAAAAATATATAAAATATATCTGGTCTCTTAATAATTTTTGGTTTGACTGTATATCCTTCGGTTATTTTCACACTTAATTATGCCCATTACAATGTATTTTACGAGTTTTTGTTACTTTCACTGTTCATTTTTTTTGCTCTATGGTACATCATCTTTAATTTAATAGCATTAGAGCTGCTCCATTGCAGTGGCTTAGTACTGTAATCACGCGCTGTAATAATGCAGGGAACCACTCGTTATAAATCTCCTAACTGTGATATTTTCAGAAATAGAAGTCGCGTTTTTTTTCATCTGAAACGTGCTGCGATTTATATTCCAAAGCCACTCATATGATGCAGAAACACTCAAGCAAGCAAAACGTGCGCAACACGTGCACGTATTTGTACTGGTGCAGAATGAGAGGGACAAGTAGTACAGCCTAGCGCATTTCACACAGGCTGCTAGATTCACTTTCGCCAGAAAGTCATGTATGCCTAAGGTTGAAAATAAACAATGTTTATAGCGAATGCCCCTATAAATGGTCTTATTTTTTTATTTAGTTTTAATCCAAATGATGCGTGTGCTAAGTGAGTGAACATCAAAGATCACACAACAGAAGTGCACGCGCTCTCTCTCTCTCTCTCTCTTAACTACTGTTAAGTAACTTGTGCATTGTTTTACTTGCTTGTTTTTGACATATCCGACCGAACTACAAACTTTCCATTTAGTTTTAATCCAAATGATGCGTGTGCTAAGTGAGTGAACATCAAAGATCACACAACAGAAGTGCACGCGCTCTCTCTCTCTCTCTCTCTTAACTACTGTTAAGTAACTTGTGCATTGTTTTACTTGCTTGTTTTTGACATATCCGACCGAACTACAAACTTTCCAGTGATGTCTGTGAGAAAGGTATATTCACTCGACAAGCTCGTGCATCTGCGCCGCCGCGTGCTCCATCCATGCAGCGTGCTTTGCTTATCAGCTCGCGCACATCAGCTATAAAGGCGTTAATACTGAATGTTTAGCATTATATTCATTGCATACATATACTTCGTAGACATCCTTAATCTCCAATAACTCCATTCTGCTGTCTGTTGTTCTGTTGTCGGTGTTTCTTTGTCTGAATATGGCATCACATGCTGTGTGGTATCGGCGTTTGGTATCGGGGCATTTTAACGAGTACGAGTACAGGAGATCAGTATCGGGCCCAATACCGGATACATCCCTATACAGTATGTATGTATTGATATAAAGTATGTTTGATACCTTTTGTCCTTGCAGGCCCTCTGGACCTTTACCTCCAGAAGGTCCTTGAGGGCCTGTTAGACCAGGGGGTCCATCCGCTCCTCTTGAACCAGGGGGACCAGGGATACCAGCTTGGCCCTAAAGAAAGCAGGCGGAGGATGTTTTAAGGTGGAACATTTGATAAGACTTTTCACTGAGATCAGCAGTGTTAGGCTTAAACAGCCGTGGAGCTAAAGTATCTGGTATACTCACCCGTTCACCTTTCTCTCCTTGTGATCCCTTCGTCCCCGTAACTCCATCAAAGCCTCTGTCACCCTGGGCATCAACAGATGAACGTTACATGGTTTGTTTAAAGTTTCATTGCACCTTTTCCACTTTACTTTTTGAAATTAGAAGGATTGCAGAGTATGTATACCTATGTTGCAGTAAAACATTTTGTCTGCTGGTTTATTCAGCAGTGATTTTAAAAGAATTGGTACGTTGCTACCAATCAATCTTAGGCAACACTTAGGCAACATTAAATGTTTTAATTATAAATATTTAGATATTACATTTTTTTGACATGTTCAAAGGCATATGTGTTTCATCAATTACAGTGACAACACTATTATTCAGTATGATCTCAGACCAATATGTTTCCCATGCGATATGCTTTTACCTTGGCTCCAATGAGTCCCTCCTTCCCTGGACTTCCTGTGGAACCTGAAGACCCGACTTCACCCTGAAATAAAATTTGCCATAAAAACAAGATAATGAAAGGAATTGCATACATGCCTCACACAAAAACAAATGCATGTGTACATACCTGCTCTCCTTTCCTCCCTGGCAATCCCGGTCTGCCATTAATCCCAGCATCCCCCTATGAACAGACACATTTCATCACTTCCAGCAAAACATGGCGACACGACAAAAACTTTCCTCAAGCTCCCCTTATTACTCACCTTGTCTCCCTTTGGTCCACTTTGTCCACATGCTCCCTTGGCGCCTCGTTCTCCCTGTAAGCCATTAAAGCTCAGTCAAACTGTCAATCACTCAATGTTACAGGGAGTAATGACACTAGAGAAAAGCTCCCTGGGAGGGACTATTTAGAAAGAATAACACCATTCATGTGTCAGTCATACACACGACCACACAAACTCACACACGCCCTTCAATTGCTGTCTTTCTATTTAGTTTTAATCCAAATGATGCGTGTGCTAAGTGAGTGAACATCAAAGATCACACAACAGAAGTGCACGCGCTCTCTCTCTCTCTCTCTCTTAACTACTGTTAAGTAACTTGTGCATTGTTTTACTTGCTTGTTTTTGACATATCCGACCGAACTACAAACTTTCCAGTGATGTCTGTGAGAAAGGTATATTCACTCGACAAGCTCGTGCATCTGCGCCGCCGCGTGCTCCATCCATGCAGCGTGCTTTGCTTATCAGCTCGCGCACATCAGCTATAAAGGCGTTAATACTGAATGTTTAGCATTATATTCATTGCATACATATACTTCGTAGACATCCTTAATCTCCAATAACTCCATTCTGCTGTCTGTTGTTCTGTTGTCGGTGTTTCTTTGTCTGAATATGGCATCACATGCTGTGTGGTATCGGCGTTTGGTATCGGGGCATTTTAACGAGTACGAGTACAGGAGATCAGTATCGGGCCCAATACCGGATACATCCCTATACAGTATGTATGTATTGATATAAAGTATGTTTGATACCTTTTGTCCTTGCAGGCCCTCTGGACCTTTACCTCCAGAAGGTCCTTGAGGGCCTGTTAGACCAGGGGGTCCATCCGCTCCTCTTGAACCAGGGGGACCAGGGATACCAGCTTGGCCCTAAAGAAAGCAGGCGGAGGATGTTTTAAGGTGGAACATTTGATAAGACTTTTCACTGAGATCAGCAGTGTTAGGCTTAAACAGCCGTGGAGCTAAAGTATCTGGTATACTCACCCGTTCACCTTTCTCTCCTTGTGATCCCTTCGTCCCCGTAACTCCATCAAAGCCTCTGTCACCCTGGGCATCAACAGATGAACGTTACATGGTTTGTTTAAAGTTTCATTGCACCTTTTCCACTTTACTTTTTGAAATTAGAAGGATTGCAGAGTATGTATACCTATGTTGCAGTAAAACATTTTGTCTGCTGGTTTATTCAGCAGTGATTTTAAAAGAATTGGTACGTTGCTACCAATCAATCTTAGGCAACACTTAGGCAACATTAAATGTTTTAATTATAAATATTTAGATATTACATTTTTTTGACATGTTCAAAGGCATATGTGTTTCATCAATTACAGTGACAACACTATTATTCAGTATGATCTCAGACCAATATGTTTCCCATGCGATATGCTTTTACCTTGGCTCCAATGAGTCCCTCCTTCCCTGGACTTCCTGTGGAACCTGAAGACCCGACTTCACCCTGAAATAAAATTTGCCATAAAAACAAGATAATGAAAGGAATTGCATACATGCCTCACACAAAAACAAATGCATGTGTACATACCTGCTCTCCTTTCCTCCCTGGCAATCCCGGTCTGCCATTAATCCCAGCATCCCCCTATGAACAGACACATTTCATCACTTCCAGCAAAACATGGCGACACGACAAAAACTTTCCTCAAGCTCCCCTTATTACTCACCTTGTCTCCCTTTGGTCCACTTTGTCCACATGCTCCCTTGGCGCCTCGTTCTCCCTGTAAGCCATTAAAGCTCAGTCAAACTGTCAATCACTCAATGTTACAGGGAGTAATGACACTAGAGAAAAGCTCCCTGGGAGGGACTATTTAGAAAGAATAACACCATTCATGTGTCAGTCATACACACGACCACACAAACTCACACACACCCTTCAATTACTGTCTTTCTCATTAGAGACAACAGATAGAGGTCTATCTGGGATGCTGAATCCAGATAAAAGTTCTTATCTGCTATGTGAGTGTGCGCGTCTATGTTGCCGCTGGCTGAAGGGCAGCTAGTACTGTCTGCAGCGGCCCATGTATCCCTGAGAGGAATGATTCATACGCAGGAGTCTTTCATGTGCCTCACTGCTCTCGACAAATCAATTTCTCCACACATACACGCACGCACACACACATATTCACACACAAAAACTTTCATACGGTGGCTCTGAGGTACATATGCAGATGAAATGTCAGACACAATGGCCTGGAATCCAGACTGTGGTGGAATTATAAGCAGTTTGATCATCTGGTCTGAAGGGCTACTCAAGGTTAGCTACGATAAAGCTTGCAAGAGTCAGGTTGAGTTTTAAAAGACAACCATTAAAACGCACACACACACACATACACACACCTTGAGGCCTCGCGGACCTACAGGCCCAAACTCTCCCTTCTCTCCTCTCATTCCAGGCAGACCATCTTTACCAGGTGTTCCCTGTAGAAAAAAAGGAGCAGTCATGGGGAAATGGCTGAGCCTGGGGACTGTATGTGCCAGTCATGCGCTGATGTTATAGGCATCTGAATAAGAATACGCACTGCTTCTCCTGGGACACCAGGCTGCCCTGCTTCTCCCTGCAAATGATAATTAAATATTTGATCAATATGAGAGTCATGCACATCGATGTACATATGCAAACATGCATATGTTTATTCTTGTTCATTTGTGAGGAAAGGGAGTGTATTTTTCACCTTCTGACCACCAGGACCACGGGCTCCCTGGAAGCCAGTAGAACCTCTCTCTCCTGGCTCCCCTCTCAGACCCTGCAAATATGATAGAAAAATCACAAATGAGATCTCTTTAATATCTTTGTCATTTCTCTCAAACAGCAATGAGATTAAAGGGGGAACAAATTGAGTCTCTTGCTTCTCAGATTATTCTGCTAAGAAGAGACCCCAACATGTCTCAACAACGTCTGTGATCAAAATAAAAAGATTTCAATATACTCAAACATTTCTCATCAGATTCTTTGAAGACCAAATTTTCTGAGCTAAGCCACATGAATTTTATATGTCCATGCTCTTATTTTTGTCTATATTTCATTCCCCTAAGCAATTTTAGGAGAAGTCTGAGACATAAATAAAAAGAAATGGGTTCTGAAAGACTAACCTTTCAAATAAATCAAAAGAGAATAAAAATTTTATTTAGCTAATAGCAATAAGATGATATTTATAATCATGTTAAGACTGATAATAAATAGTCCATATAAAATGTTATACTATTCTGTCTAAATAAAAAAAACGTTTTAAATACCACAAGAGATTTAGGCATCACAACATTATATTGTAGTTGTATATTATGAAAAAAAAAAATATGATGAAACAAGAAAAAACATTCTTACCTGTTCTCCTGGTGGTCCTTCCTGTCCCTTTGCACCCTTTTCACCCTGTGCACCTTTAGGTCCTCGCTCCCCCTGAGGAGAGCAGCGATCTGTACTGATTAGTTTACATTGACCCAAAAGATCTGCCTTTATCCTGTTGCTTACTGACTCGTTAACAATCTATAGATCTCGAGGCAGACACACATGAATGCTTTATGACCAGTTCTCATAGGCACATGTTCTAAATAGATAAGAGACCTATAGCAGCCTAACCTTTATTATTGGCCTTTAATCTGAGTGACCCAAAAGCATTAAACACCTGACACAGCTTAATCAAAACAATTTGACTCACAGTTTCTCCTTTCACTCCTTTCTCTCCTGGAGGTCCCCCCACCAGCTGAGTATCTCCCTTAAAGATATAAAATCAAATACAGCAATATACAATCTATTAAATATGCAAAAATAATAGTATAATATATTCAATATGTAAAATAAACCTCTTTTAGGGTGATATAAAACCCCACTACTTCACATAATAATCACATTTAACAGAGTTTATTTTGCGATAACTACCTGACTGTACATGATTCTGCTTATTACATGGCTACAAATAAATAAATGGACATAAAATAATCATTGGCATTTAAATAATGTATTATTTAAGAAGAATTAAGTTTAGCTATCAAATTTACCAGCTATCATTGAAAAATATTGAAATGGACCAATCAGAATCAAGTATTCCAGGAAGCTGTGTAATAAAGAAAGATGATTAATGCATTTTCTAAAAAAAAATACCTTTTCTCCTTTAATTCCCGAAGGACCTTGTTCGCCCTGTGAAGAATTTATAGTTTATAAGTTTATAAAACATGTGTACATAAAGGATTGTATTTCATGACACAGTCATTGTTATTATTATTTTTTAGCAAAGTTAAGGGACGAGCCTCAGCCAGATTGTAGCAGTTGATGAAAAGTTATACAGACCTTATCTCCTCTGTTTCCTTTGCCGCCAGGAGGACCCTGTCAGTGGGACAGACAGTTGAGTAGAAGAGAAATCTTATTTGCCTGAGCATTTGTATGCATTTTGTAGATAGAAGACGTGCAGCGCTGCAAGAGGCCTTGACTCATAATGGTTTTGAAATTGCACAGAGTGGGAGACGAACACATCATTGCCCTGAATATAAAGTGTGACGAATACAGTGTTCGTAAAGCCACCTCTCTGCCTGCATCAGCCTTTCCACATCTAGATGAGGGCTCAGATCAATGACACTCATCAAGAGAGACTGACTGTTACTGCCTGACTGACATCAATATGTGTAGAAAACAGGATGTGGTGGGGTAAAAAATAATGAGTAAATGCAGAATGTTGTAAACGGAAAGTAGGAGTATATTTACAGTAAGGCCTCTCTCTCCATCTGTTCCAGCCCGACCTTCTTCTCCCTACAAAAATTAGACAGATACACACATCATCACAATCTGATATGCATACAAAAAAATTAATAAGAGATGGAGTGATTGTGGACATTACCCGAGGCCCTGGGTCTCCTCGCTCTCCTCTTAAACCTGGCACTCCTACACCAATTTCACCCTGAATGTGGAGGAAAAAAAGAGAAAAAGGGTAATAAATCTGTCTCACGCAGTGTACTTCATTTTTGTCCAATAAAACCTTACTGAACAGCTCTGACTGCACAGAGACACACTGGTTTCAAAGTTTTAGCTTTTTAGACTGGCTTCCTTATTTCCAAAATAAACACAAATAAATTGGTCCTAAAAGTTTAAAACCAATTTTTACGATTTAAAATTGGTTTTAAACTTTTAGGACCAATTTATTTGTGT